GCCAGCTTGAAACAGCACGAGAAAACTAGAAGTGCTGAATTGATGGATTTTAATTGGAGTTCAGAAGTAGCTACGTTTCGAGGAGTATTTTGCAAGCAGGGCTAGTTTTTAGGAAACCTGAATGAAAATTCACTATGAATTCTTAGCTTATCTGGAAAGAACCGAAAATGTCCACTCAAGAAAAGCAAATGAAGCGAAAGGGAATTTGCAGAAGCAGCACATACATTTTCAATAGTTCTTCTGAGTTTTTTCGTAAACTAAAGCAACCAGCATTGGAAGAATTGACCGCGTTGAAACTTCTGACGAGAGAAACTTCTGACTGTCCGTTTTCCACAGATGAACTCACTTGAATAATTTTCACTAGATTGATCTCAGAAGCACGAGCCAACTCATCAAAAGACTTTAAATATATGCTTTAAAAAACTTTCATTTAAAATCTACAGTAAATGAGTACTTACAATTAGTTAATGATCAATCAACAGTCGATCAACAGTCACCAACAGTTTTGCTAAAATGCGTCGAAAAAGTGAACGGTGACCAGAAAAAATCAACCATTCAAAATAAAAACAGCTCACGAACTACTCAAATGAACGAACAATATCACTTCGTAAGTAACAAAATATTTAAGCAGAATAAAGCCAATACATCACTGAATTAGGTAGGAGCTGTCACCGAATTGCCCAATAAAGAATTTCAAATGAAAATTGTAACTGAAAGTGAGGAGTGAGTGAATTGAGCAAATTGCAACAATGAAATGAGGAAGACTGGGACTGATTAAATGTACAACGAATGGATTAATGTAAGACAATAGGATTGAAATTCATTTTAACCATTTCAACAAGAGCATTATCAAAAAAAGGCGGAGGAATGTTACGTGTGTGTATGTCCATCACAAACGTGATTTCGTGTAAGAGAAATGAACGAAAAAGAATATTAGACAATGAGATCGCTGTGATTTATTTGACCAAATTAGGGCAACTCGTAAGGTGAGTGTCGCCAACGTTGCTCAATCATAACACGGTAACCTATGAACGGTTCATCTCTACAACGGCTCTTCCTAAATATTTCTGTTACTATTATTCTTATNTTGACTGAGAGCAGTTTCGCTTGTCCTACTGCTCAACAGTTGCACACAATACCTGAATTGCTCATCTTATTTTCAGTTAGATACAGTTTGTAATCATAACACCTCATCATCAGTCGAATGTATTCCTTAGAATGCTACAATTTGAACCTTATCTATTTTAAAAGATTTCTCCATTGGTCATTCCACCGTTGAAAATGTCCTAAATAGATTAATCTTTACAGTTTAAAAACATGATCGTTGTTGATTGAACAAATGATCAGTCAACTGATACATTGAAATGAATGTCGAAGAAATCTGCGATTTAAATAAAGAAGACTAGATTAAATTTGGCTTATTTATGTTGAGACAAGATAAGCAAAAGTTGAGTTGCCGATCTTGATCGAATGCATTAGCATTCAGCAGAACCAGTAGCAATATTCAATATAAGTTTATCATCATATCTGAGTGAATCGCCAGCCTATTAGCTTCACAGTAAATGAACATTAGTCACTGGATTGTATTTGTTCTTGATTTTGACTTAATTATGAAGTAATACTCAATGTATTCGCATTCAATTCTTCGATGGATATTAGAGAAGCTCACAAATTTCTGAATATTTCATGTTATTTTCACAATTTTTTTGAATTAGAATTCAGTTTGGTTTGAAAAAAAAAACATTTCAAAGAGACAATCCATATCATGAAAGTATTATCGTGTACGAGCGATTTTTTCTGAGTCACGTCTAATCGAATCCAATAAAACGAATCGCATTGTTGACCGTTGACAAATTGACATTAATTAGGATCATTTCATACACGAACAGAATGAAATGTTTTTAGCGTATTTATCTTTTTCTCGTGTCATTTTCTCCGTTTTCTTTTTTTTTCTTTAAAATTTCCATATGTATATGACACTTCGAGTTCCTCGTTTCTTGGTCTATATCTCGGGAGCGCAGATATCTGTACGCCAGAAAATAAACAAACCTGAAAAAAATCGCTCATCCTAATTCAGTATGACCAGTTGAATTCATGAAATCAAAAATGATTCACTTATTTCCTCGTCATATTGCAAGAAATGAACCATCGAAACTTTCATTTCAAATTCGGAATTATTAATGACAATATTTTTAAAAAATGAATCCAAACTTCAAATTTTTTCAGTCGGCTCTACTCACTTCGAAAATATTCACTACATTATCTCACATCAATAATTAGTTCCAATAACCACTAATAGTATGAAAGATTCTTCTTTATCATTGAACCGATAAATTGTATTCATGATCAAAACATTGAAATGCGGATCATCAATTACAAAAATGAGAAGTGCGTTTGAGAATTATTATCGATAGCGATTTTGTTTGATTAAACTATCTATAATAATATCACAAGATGCCATTGCACTGTCTTTTAAGTCTTACAAAGATTTCATTTTATCGTTTGATTGATTTTCAATTGATATAGGAATTGATTTCCATTTCAAAACAAATTCCAAAGTGTGCAAACAGTCGTACGTTGAATTCCTTTCTTATTAAATCATCTAAAGGATTTCACCGTGAAATTAATCCAGTTCGTGAGCAGTGAATCGGAAATTTTCAATTTAAATTCCCCTAATTTGTTTTGAGACTTAGTCAGATCGGATTTCATTCAGCGTTTACCGAAGGTCACTTAATTATGTTTCGCAAATAAGATAATTAGAAAGTGGTGAATTTAATTGAATCTACAATAGAGAAATTCGGATCAGTGAGCGAAAAATTTCACGCATAATTGGGTTCGACATCAAAGTTGATTGTTGTTTAATTCAGCGCATATGCTAAACGCTCATCATGAATTAATCAAAGAGTATTGATGAAGACGTTTTCAAATGCTTGTCAAGTCGAATCAAATCAGTCAATGACCATTATGTAGATGATGATGAGCGTGTACGATTCCTTAATTCCGAAAAGTTTAAGTATTCAATCAATCAGAATCAATTATCAACAAATTTACTTGAAATGATCACAGCCTTACATGAAATGTTACTTGATGAAATTTCTCATCGTAACAAATCTGACTTGTGAGATAGACATAGATAGAACGGAATCACTTGTATAAACCGATAGAATATCCTATCCCAACTAGTAATCATTTCTCAGCCAAATGTTTGGCTTCATACGATTGATTGGATATGTCAAGTTGATCGAATGCTTATCTTTAGGACATGCTCGCTACAGACGTCAATCGTTGGATGCATCGCATACTCCACAAATAGATCTTAATATTACCGTCCCATACATATTCAGTGCAAGACTCTATCCGTACGGTAAACAAAAAGGTGATCAGCTACTAACTGGCAGTGTGCAGTCGTTGAAACTTTCAGCGCCGATCAATTTCCTCGGTCAAAAATACGAAAAGCTCTATGTAAGTATCGCAAAATCACTATTCAGGAGCTTCCTTGGATCCTGTTCTGATATCTGATTTCAATTCCTTGATCTAATTTACTCGTTGATTTTCACAGATTCGTCGTGATGGTTCTATCGCATTCTCAAGTCGGTCTGTTAAACCGTCCAAACTACCCACCAAAGAGCCAATCATTGCCGTTTACTGGATGCCTTCAGAAGGCGGCAATGTCCACTATCGTGAAACCACTGGTAATTTTTACAACACCACTCAATCATTGTAATATTTAATAATTCTGCTCATCAAATTCAACAGTTTCGTACAAAACTGCGACGTATACGTGCAAGATTTTGAGTGTATACATGGTGTAGCTGTCTGTATATAATAAGGGATCTTATTGTGGTTTGAAGTCAACGGGTGTGCGCGATGACCTCGAGTTATTCGCGTTGGGTTTATGTGACTTTATTATGATATTATATCGATGATCTTCTTATCTGATCAGATATGTGACTGATAACACATTATTAATAGATTATACTGTATTGATTACTCAGACCTCCATGATGTCGCATTTGCGAATTAGGAATCCCTCATAAACCCCATTCTTTCTAAACAGTGAACTTTCGTTGGGGGTGAGTGATAATCGGGTAGTAGTTGATTCGCCATCCAATTATTCAATGATTTCAATTTGAAACGTACGTCATCTTGGGTGATGATAATTATGCTGAATTTAATGATAGGGCAATTTCATCTCAATATGTCACAAGCATTCATTCATCTTATTTATTGAGCAATTCAATTAATTGCGAAGAGTTCGGGAATACCAACTGAAAAAAACAATTCTTTCTGTTTCGAATAATTTCTGAGTGCGGAATCCGATCAGTCAATGGATCCATCAAAAACACCAATTGATTTTTGAAGTGCTGACAATTTTGAATGAAATTCTGCTTGATCAAATCAATTGATCAAATCAACAGTAATCGATTATTTATTTGAATATTTAACAGAACAATCCGTCCTGAATCTGGCTCAGAATGAGGTGAACATTCAGTACCGTTACGGTTCATCCTTTAAACCGCATTCGGTTGTTGTTGTCACGTGGGAGAACACTCACGATCGAAGTGATAAGGTAACAGTATCATGAACTACACCTTCTTATAACTTCACATCGCTGCAGTTTTAACATCACCATAGTAACTAAGTCAAAAAACTGTCTTCAATTCATTGAACATGTGAAAAGGTACGTGCATACCTTTTGAGTGTGCATGAACGCAATGAGACTAATTAAGATAGAAACAGAAACAAATTTATGAGGTGCATTGTCCCATCGACGAACCTGCAATAAATCGGTTAAATTGCCTTATCTCTTGATCGCGATCTGTAGAATATCTTTCGTTTGGAACTGAGAGGCGATTCGATGAAACAATTTCACTTTCGCGTATGGCATTCATTCGGCCTTCATTGTAAAACTGCAAGGAACAAGAAGATTGTGCCCCAATTTAATAAATAACTAACTTTCGCTCATTATAAATCATTGATAAAAGATTGATTGAATCGATACCATCGAAAAAAAATTCACATGAAATTTATCACTGATTTGATGGATGACAAAATTGTATTCGAATGTGATAAAATCAAATAGAAGTAATCATAAAAAGTGATTTTTACGACTGATAATTTGCAGCATTCACTCATCGTAAAATATTGTAGACTGCAGATTTTTTCATCACAATACAGTTTAGTAGTAGATTATCAATAATCAAATTTCAATGGTGAAGCGATGCACAAGGCAATTATATAACCTCGTGTTAAGAATGTGATAAGAGCATGATGCATTTCATGAAAGATTCTCGCAGAACATTCACTCAAGTCGGAGTCTTTAGGTCAAGAAATGTTACGTTCTCAGTTATTCTCAGTTTCTAAATATTTCAGTCATCCGAAGGAAATCTCTTCCAAATTGCGCTTATCTACAGTGAAAGTGGTACTTTTGCGCACGTTGTCTACAGTAAACTCATCTCAAATAACGATGCTATTGTACGTTCTCTTTGTTTTTGCTATCAGCGATAACGAATGTTTCCTATTGCAGTCGGAGGGCAATATTTTGTATAAAATGCTTCTTTCTATAAATTAAACCAAATTACCCAATGAAAACCATATTATGACGAGAGAATGGATAATATTTCTGATATCCTCGAGAATCCAGCAGATGTGCTTGTTCACATGTGTTAAGAGATTAAACCCCAACGAATTAGGAAAGAAAAAAGAAGTTTTGCGAAGTTTTCAGGCCGGTTTCAGTGGTCAGGACGATCATTATTCGTTGCCTGAATCAGGAACGCATGATGCCATTCAGTTAGCCGAGAAGAGTGATATCGGTATTCCGGGAGAGTTCGTTTTCCGGATTGATGCTGATCGTGTGTTTTTGTGTGGCGCTGGCTTTAAGGTTCGAGAAAAAGAGCATTCATTTCATCGCTTTTCACTTTTTAAATCAACACATCGTCTTGGTGCTTTACTTGACGTCCTTCATTTTCAAATTATTTCCATTGTTAGCATCTTATCAGATTCATTATATCCAATGATATGCTTCCTAGTGCATTCATTCATTTTGAACTAGAGATCATTCTCCACAAGTGATAGCAGCAAAAAACGGAGAAGATCTTAGAGTTCAGGTCGATTGAACATAACATATATAGTGCTCATAGTCAGTGCTAGTACGATCATATATTTAGAACAAAATGAATCTTTGATGTGGAGATGTACAGAATATCAGCTCGGCATGTATACTTATCCTAAACTGGAAGTCTCTGTAAAAGATTAATGTGAGAGCTCTTAAATCGTTGAGATGTACTTTAATCAAGTATGATATACCAGTGGATCTCATTTGGGGTGTTTTACCCCTGGCAAGGAATTTGGGAACGTCATAGAAGAGGAAGGGGGGGGATCGTAAATTAATATTTCGTGCAGTTATTATGTTGTGATCGAATGCCGGTATGATGGTGTTCTTTCACTTGGGTATTTAAACGCGGTTCGCTTATGTCAGCATTCTTCTTTATCTCATTTTATCAATATCTACAGTTCATCTAACGATAAGTGTAAGCAAAAGTCCATTTGAAGTAGTACAAGTCTTTCGTAAGTTCTTTAATATATTGGCTCTCGTGAGCATTAGCACTTGATTGAGTTCATTGACTTGACAGAAATAACATCGGTTTAGTATATGAAGAGCGAGTATTTTTGAATTCATCCGCACTTATTATTCGATTGCAGTGAAAATTTTTGGGAGCTTTTTAATTACTTCATATAGTGGGATTTACGGTTCGTAAATGAATTTTTTGAACCAATTATGTCAAAGGTATCTGGTTTGTTTGCTGAAGTTGATATGATCCTATAGATCGAAGCTTGATATTCATATAAAGCTTCATTTCATTGAAAAGATTTTTCGTCCGGTCACTTATGGGTTTTCCTCAAACTAGAAGCTATGATCTGTATGATGGACATATGAATTTTAAGCTTGTTAGGAATAAATGAGGCGCATCCAATACTATTTTCCCCTTATCTCATATCGTCAAATGCGATTTCTGTTATTGCCTTATGATTGCCGCAGAATGGTTTCTTCCGGATAAAGCTGCATTGCAGTTCGTTTTCGATACAACGGATATTCAGTTGCCAAGTCATTTTATTTGCAGTAATAAATCAGCTAAAGTGTTGAGCGTTACAAAACTATTTAAGCATAAACACGATCCAATTTTATTGTATAATTGCAAGGTGTCTCCTATAATTAACGAAATTAAAGGGTTTGGAATGTATCGATGCTTGTGGCACAACTGAATGGGGTCTTGATTGCTCACGTGAATGCCATTGTGAGGGTGGATCACAATGTAACGCCGAAACTGGTATATGCGCAAACGGTAGATGCAATCCAGGATGGACCGGAGAGCCGATTTGTGATGATGGTAATGAAGTTGAAAGTTGCTCATCCACTTTCACTCTTTTAATTTCCAGCACCATTTGATGAAATCAGCATGACTGTTATCTTCATGATCTATCAAACACAGATGGATAGGTATTTCCGACATGTCGTAGACTAAACGAATTCACTGAAGCGAAGATCGATTGGATCTGTTATGTTTTCACACAAAGAAGATAATAAAATGCATAGATAATTCACTGGAGTTGTTACATCCAGCATGAACATATGAAGATGAGCAAACATCATCCCAAGTGTCATCGAAAATAACTGTTTTGAACCGGTTATCCAACATCCACTATATTTCTTCAGCTCCATTACGGATCCTTTTCGCTCATTGTTATTGAAGTTGTTCACGCTTGTTTACATAACCTGATTTATGGTTGTTTATAAAAACATCTACAAATAGCACTGTATTCATGAATGAGAACTCTCTGCTTCATGCGGACAAATTTGTTTTTTGAGGCAAATTTATGATCGTTCACATTGTTGAGCAACAAACATGTTCACAATTGGGGATGAACCATTTGTTGGCAAATGTAAACATTTTGTACTGAAATTTACTTAAACTGTGTGGTGTGAACATTTCTGATAGAACTGTGAGCCCTGGAGCAACCTATAAAAAAAGACCAGTTACTCAACATGATTATGACATTCTAAAATCATAAACAATCTGATAACTGATCTGTTTTTAAAGATATTGATGAGTGTGCAGCCGCATCTAAGGATTTGTGTCCACCAGAACAACCGGATTGTTTGAATACACCTGGTGCTTTTCTGTGCCTGTGTTTCGAATACGATAACGCTACAAAAACTTGCAAAGGTGACTAGATTTTTCACATGTCATCATTGAGTGTGAAATCGGAAACTTTCGATATCAAATAGTCATTTGTTCATTTCGTACTAAAATCCAACAGTGTTACTTAATCTTGAATGCGAATCATCAGCAATTATTCATCACTAAAGATAGTATTCTTTGTTGTTGTTGTTGTTGTTGCTCACGGTCGGTTTCTTTTTCGATCTACAACTCTTTACCTTCCTGGATCTGTAATTGCTTCCCACTGTTTGATCTCAATCATCGCATTAAGTTTCGGCCTAAAATGTCTTCCCTGTTTAGCTGTATATGAATGAAAATCTCGAAAATCAGTCGTTCACACATCAGCTCTAAGCAATCATCAAGTATTTTGAACAAATATCCAGCCAATGAAAACACGATAAGTTATTGGTAAGTTTTGCATTTCAGGATCACCACCACTCGAAAAGCCATCAGAAAGTGAGCAGATTCCCGTAAAAGTGGTCCCACTTCAGCCCGTACTTATCGCCAATACCCAACAACCTCTCACCGTAACTCTCACAATCCCAACTGAGCCAGCCTCTACCGAAACATCTATTGCATCATCTGCATCAACTTCTACTCCATCAGCACCTGAAACTGCCGCCTCACCTTCAGAATCTGCCGAACTTTCAAGCTTAATGACTGCAGAAACGTTCCGATCAACAACTCCTGATGTTACAGTTGAATCCAAATCGCAATCGCCCACTTCAGAATCAAGCACTACTCAGCAGCAAACGACTCCATCTACGACTCAGTTTGAAGCTACGACTCAGTCACCATCCGTCACAGATCCTACCACTTCAGCTACTACCAAAGCTATCTCAACAACCACTTCTTCTCCATCGTCACAAACAATTCGCTTCAGTCCAGTTACTATTCGGGTATGGAGCTGGATCAGTTCTAGCTTTTACTTTATCATTTTCGCAGTACCAACTCCATTCAATGTATCTCATAATTTTGAAGATCAGTTTCATTCAAGATTCACTATCCCTCATCAGGATTAGCGTTCGGGTCAAAAATTGAAATGAGAGGTTCTGATGAAGAAAAGTAATAAGAATTCAAACAGAATGATCAGTGAAATGATAGAGGTCCAATGAACTAATAGAAACGAGAAAGGCCGACTGCGCTACTGATCTTGTCTTAACCACCTTCGAACTTTTAGTAATATTCAAAGAAACCTTAGAATTTGGAAAACTGGAAAGGACCATGAAGTATACCCACTCATATGATCATGTCAGAAGAACTATAATTCAAAACTATGACCAAATTTCAGCCAGTTTTCGGTACCACATCATCGCCATGCAAATGCGGTCAAAACGCTGAGTGTATCTCGGGTGTTTGTCAATGCAAACAGGGTTGGACAGGTGATGGTCAGCTTTGTACGGATATCAACGAATGTTTCGGAGAGCCGAGTATTTGTGGACCACATTCGATATGCGAGAATAGTGCTGGATCGTACACTTGCCAGTGCGATATCGGATATATCTTCGATAATGAAGGGAAATGTGTTGGTCAGTCCTATTTCCGATGACTTTCGCTTCGGCTACTCAAAATTCGATCAGTCAGAGAAATTTCGCCTAAGTTTTGCTCTGTTCACGTGCATTAATGTGAATGGGCGATTTTCTGAAATTCACATATCTGACAATGAGTTCTGAATATCTCATAATTTTAGGTTTGCATTCAATTATTTGAAACGGATTAAAATAGATTCTTGAGGGACTTCAATCAGATTCACTATTGAAACTACGTGGTATTCACAGCTTATTCGTATTAAGCTTTGAATTTACAGATATGGATGAATGCGCTGAAGGTGTTGTTGTATGTGGTGATGGTAAGAATAGTTCAGTGTGCGTGAATACAGACGGTGCTTATGAGTGTCGTTGTGCACCAGGATATGTGGGGCATCCTGACACTCAACATGGATGCAATGGTCAGCTTTCTGATTTCGATTACCATTCGAAATGTGGCAGTTTGCTCACCAGTTGATCCACCTTATTTTAATAGATCTCATTGGGTTGTTCAAAAGATGCACACATACATGACGAAATTACGGATAATTTCGTTTGATTATGAGATCTGTCTGCAGTCTCCATATAGATGAATAGATACTTGGACTTTAATTCTCTCGTCAATATTTGAACTTCAATTCCAGGTTGAGATTCATTCCAGCGATCTTTTTTATGATAGCGTTTATTTAGATATTGACGAGTGTCAGTTGTCGGACTTTTACTGTGGTGAGAAAGGTGTTTGCAAGAATACAATCGGAAGTTATGAATGCGAATGCTCAGAGGGATATCAACAAGACGTGGAAGGAGGCCAATGTGTTGATATCGATGAGTGCAAGTGGGTTTCCGGAATTTAGCGACTGCTTTTTGCCTCAGAAAACCATTATATTGTATCATTCACTTGAGAGTACTGTTGCAATATTTGACTAGAATTAACATTACTGTTCTGATGTCTACGTTCTTGTGCACATTGACCTTTATACTCGTTGAATTATTTGTTTTCATTGCAAATGTTAACCTCAAATTTTCTTTGCAAACATCAGTGAATATGACTCGAACATTCAGATATGATCCATGCGATAAGGCTGCATTGTGCACTAATTTACCCGGTACCTTCAAGTGTACATGCATCGATGGTTTCATCGGTAATGGAATTGAATGCCACGGTGCGAATTTTTGATGTTCTTCGGGAATTTTCTGAATAAGAATTAAATTTCAGTCATT